CGGTCGTTTATTACGGGAAGGGAATCATTGCTGGAATGTGTCGGCTAACTTGATTATAGGTCTGAAATTCATTCGGGCATGACCTGCTAAACGTGCTGACGGATGCTTTGGCGACTGTATCAAGCATTCCACTGTGGCGAAAGTTTTTCTTCCAATGGACTGCATATCTTATTTCGACAGAGTACCATTGCACAAGCAATCCAGGTAACACAGACAGTTCCCAGCTGTTCATCGAAAGGCCTCCCAGACATACCATTTGTGCCAGGCGTTTGCGGCTCTGTTGTATCACGTGTTCGCCAAACCTCGATAAGCTTTCGGTTGAATCGCACGCAGAGTTGGCAAATAAAGCTCAACCTTGGATTAAGTTTTTAAAGAATTGCTCCACAAGCCCGATGTCAGCTAAGAACTTTTCGGTGCATATGCCACCCTTTGTCGGAGCGCCAGTGGGAGCGGGGTGTTCATACAGTGTACGCTGACACAAATACCTGTAGTACCCATAGAGTGCCACCCTCAGCCCACCCGCCCTTTATTTGCGGTATACCTCCGCCGTGTTACCAATGACGTAATCGCTCCACTCGCACATACGGAATTTGCTCTCCCCGTCTGTTTGTGCGCGCGTCGGTTTGAACACACAGGAACATGCTATTCATACATCCGTTCCCTTTGCCATTCATTTCTCTTCTGCGGTGCTTCATGGAGATCAGTGGGCCGTTTTTGACAAGCTCCTTGTAAAGCTGAAGGATCCTGTGCCTCACGGCAATCAGATATCATTCAGCTGATTATCACTGGTACAGTCTGGTTCTTGGCATCGATAGTCAGCTGTCCATGAGGACGTCCAATAGATGGACCCATTCGCTTTTGTGTATTATGACTTCGCAGATCAATGTAAACGTGATTAGTGTTTGCGGTTAAGGCGTCCATTGAAATGATCTCTAATACAAACAAATGCTTCCAAAACAGCTTGGGAATTTGGTTTGAATATGGGGTCATGCTTTAAATGTACGCATATATGGAGAAAGTTTACGGTTCGAAATTTACGTCACATGTATTGTATATGTTGTTCATCAGAGGGCCTGGACCACTTGCCGCAATACTAATCGGAGAGTAGCCCAGTGCAAGTGATCTATCGATCGCAAGCAATGAGGCGGGGTAGATCCGATGCTGCTGATGACAAAGCCACAACCAGCTGACCAGTCCACATTTGACCTCATCACTCACGTCTATGGTAAACCTCCCCACATAACCCAGCTGTCCGGCCGACATATGGCCACATCCTTCATGCGTCTGCCGCGCTGCACACGTCCATCAGGCAGGCCGCAGCTCGCCGCTTCCGACCGGTGAGTCATCCGGGCCGCGTCATCAGCGTGATGGCGGCCGTGATGACGCGGTGCCGCACCGGCACGGCCCGCCGCTCGGGATCCGGTGATGCCGTTTACAGACAGACTCAGCGGCAGTGGCCATTGGTAACAGGGCGATCCTGTGGCCTAGATGGACCGCACACTGCGAGAGGTCCGCTTGAGCCGTGTTGAGCTGCGTGTTTGGGGCGTCAGATGAGCGGACCACACGCTGAGACCGGAGGACAGGACCGGTCCGACAGCAGTCATCGCTCACTGACCTGTCGGAAGCCAAACAGGCGGCTGGGTGCGAATACACAGACAGGGAGTGGTCTCTGATGGATACTGGAGCGTCATCTTTGTGAACATCTCGGACCGAACTGATTTTCGACATACACGTGTGAAATAAATGACGTGGTCGTTAGGTTTCCATTTGAGGCATCTATAGCACGTTCATAGAAGTAATGCTAACGCTAACTGACAGTGAGAGCATCCTTGCGGTTTCACCAGGCCCTGTGCAGTCCCATCGCTGCACAAGAAGTGCCCTCTCCTGTTACGCCCTCCGTTTACCGTGGCGGCATTAGACGGTCACCGGCTCTCCATTGACCGCGGCGGGGAGCGGCAGCCGGCGATGGTATCTGTGAGCATCGGCCCGACCACAGCTCTGCACACCACCTATTGACGTCGCTGGTGACCCGGGGACGGCCCGTCGGTGTCATCAGATCTCGATCCGCCGTCGGACGGGCCGTTAGGGCCATACGAGGCTCGAGCATCTGCGACAGGGTGCGTGTCTGCGCTCCATCCACCATCAGATTGCAGCATCACCAGGCCGGCCGGCCGACCCGCTCCGCGGTCAGCCAGTCGCGTGCGGGGCGCGTGCACGGCATATCAGGCCGTGTCCTCCCACCGTCCACGCGCCACTGATGCCGAATTACGGGCCAGGTTATTATTGATGCGCGTTGGAGGAGCTCACTTTGCTTTGCTCGCGTTGCCTGCCACTTTCGGTGGTTAGCGGGACGAATGATCCGGGTTATGGCGCCCCTCTGGCTTCGTGTGGCACGTTAATGGCACACAGACGGTGCGCGCTTCAGCCTGAATGCAATCACCGCCAGTGATCTCTATAATGCGCATAAGCTCTCGCGGCCTATTCGCCAGCCAGCATTGTGCAACGCCCCTCGGACTCCACCCTGCTGCTGTGGATGACGTATTTACTGGCTGCACTGTCCCCGGCAGGCCAACAGTTCAGGCGTGCAGCCGTAAATAACACGGCTGAGAGCTGAGACTCAATGGTGATACCAGACCTGTGCGGCTGTAAAGACTGGAGAAAACCACGCTACATACTGGTGCGGGCGGTGTGGCTAGCAGGGCCGACATGTTTAGCTGTGTACTACCGTCGTAAAATACCTCATACGCGACTGCAGTTGCGGAAACACTAAAACCTTACATGCAATGAATAAACATGCGTTAGTTCTAAGACCAGACGCTGTGAGGCACGGATCGCAGCCACACGCACGCACGGAGCTCAGACACCAAGGCGCCAGAGACCAGGCAGTGCGTGTCAGGACTTTTAGCAATACTGATCATCAATGCTTGTGATGATGTAGTCTGCCAGCGAAGCAATGAACCAGGGACACACATTTAAAGACGTGATGCAATGTGGATAAGCTAAATGTGGATGGGAATGTTAGAAACATTTTTGATGGAATATCAGCAGATAAGACTGGATAAAGCAATCGAGTGGCACCTTATCATGTGAACATATTTTGAGTCACGCAATCTGCAACCTGTGCTAAGGAATATCCTATTTGGTTCGTAAGGCAGATAGATAGTTCAATATCTATTATTTTCACTCTTTTTGGCATGCGTAGATGAGCGCTTTTCCGTAGTTTCACTTCTGCCCCGTCGTTCCTTCAACCCCTAATATCTGCCTCTGTTCTTCCCTGACATCTCCACCTTCTTTCCCTGGGAGACAGCCGTGCACCGTCCCCCCGGTCCTACTCTTCTTCAGTGCCACATGCTCTGGGTCGGTGAGCGACTCTGCCGCCTGGCAGACCAATTAGTGGTGACTAACGGGCCGATCTGCGCCCCCGCCGCGGGGTGTAGGGTGGTCCGGGCCGGACTCCACCCCGTCCCGGCATCCGATACCATCTCCGACGGCCGGCGGGCCGTCGGAGATGGTAACTCGGCCCCGGCGCGAGGAACAACGATCAGGACGGACGGCCGGGTATGCTCAGGGTGGCAGGACGGGAGGAGCGGATGGTGGTGTACCGCTGAGGACCAGCAACGGGGTGTTTGGTGCTCAGGGTGGCAGGACGGGAGGAGCGGATGGTGGTGTACCGCTGAGGACCAGTGACGGGGTATTTGATGTCAGTTGGTGTGAGCACATGTAAGGAAGAGTAAGGAAATCGCGTAATAATGAGCTCGTAAAAATGGTTGTAGCAATTAACGCAGCAATTCTTACGCATCCACGCAATGCTTGTTCTGCAGCCCTCACCTACTGATGCGTTGTGATGTACTCAAGCATTCATGTAGACATGCATGTCTTCCAGCATGCTTGCTCACATAATCATTCATTTTCTTTTCAAGGCAGTGTGGATAACTTGTCTTTTTGTTGACAGGCATGACCCGCTTTAGCGTGGGTTGGCGGATGGCTGTATTCAGCCATAAATCTTGCCGTACTCAGCAAAAACAAGAAGACTGCACCCTTTTTTATGAACTTATTTTGGGTGAGGTCCAACTTAACGCTCTAATTAAAACAGATGTGCACATGGCATGTATACAGCTTCATGCAGAGTTCAGAATATGCAATTACCTTCAGAGACCTTCATATGCACGCAAATCGCCCACCCAGCCTCAGCATTTGCTCACATATTCAGAGATAAACACACAAGCTTTGCTGAATAAAGCAACATATTTCGCAGCATATTTAATGGATAGATCTGCGTATATCCATGCAAGTGCGACACACATGGTGCACATGCATGCTCTGCAAATGCTATTTTAGTATTCGTTATATGTTGTATGCTTTATGTTTTATGTTGTATGTTTTAGTATACGTTATATGTTGCATATCAGACTATATGTATTTATAAATATATATAGGCTTCGGTACACACATTCGTGTACTTCGGTAGAAAGTTTTCGTTTCAATACAATGTTTGTTAAATGCAAATTAAAGGCCCACCTCATCAGTTTTCTGCCTGCTTGTTCGCTCGTTGGAGTAAAATCTTTTCGATGTTTTTGGCCGATCACACATCAATGCGGTATTTCGTTTATATTTGTCTCACCTGACAGACGCTTTTAGCGCATACATTTCCAATTAAAAGTGGAAAAATTCAGTCGCGCAAACAACGAACGAACGGCTTAACTTCATAAACATGGCCCTGATATATAATACAAGACATACAATCAGGTAAAAAATTTGCATACGAACTCGGGTCTTTGTTGAAATGTCATTTTCTTTGATCAGCCTGAAACAAAAAGAGCAAAAACTTAGGCAAAAATTAATTGTTTTGTGTCGGTCCCTACTTAATGCGTAATTCTACACCCTGTTAGTGTCATGAAACAAGAATCTAACATGGAATGCTGCTGAAAGCAGACCCCAAACTGTTTAAGGACATGAGCGATAATTATGTACAAAGCGAAAGACAGTTGAAGCTCACTTACCAACAATTGTTCTGCCTAATTTAGTCAAGCAGGTATTCTTGATATGGTCGCGGGATTTTTCAACACCCTTTGATGTGGGGAGCCAGCTTGCATGGCAGCGATCCAGGAAATGTATCTGCAAAACACATTGCTCTTAACAAAAGGTGCAGCAGTCAGAGGATTGATATTCTGTACACATAAAACAAACAGCTACATAGGAATAACCGAACTGATTACGACCGGTTGATAAGAGTGCAGTTTGTTTGATTTTAGATCTGCGTTCTGAAATCAGGCTAATACTTTTTTACAGGCATTGGGCCTACACATGTGACTGTCAAAAGTCACAAACTGTGATGTAAAGTCCAGATGATGTATAACAGTAAAGTAAAGCAGCAGCGAAGTGCGTTGTCTGTATTAACATTAGATGACAACTGGCCCGGGATGGGGACACACATCTGATCATCCCCGTCCCGAGAGGTAAGGAAGGCACCCCGGAGAGGCAAGAGGGGGGAAGACGCTCCCCACTTTACCAGTCGCGACACCACAGTAAAGATATAAGGACCATGGAAACAAACGCAAGTGTGGGAATGAGAACGAGATCGCAACCACGAGAGTTATGCCACGTTAGAAGGAGAACGCGAACCTTGACAAAATGAATGGTTGCAACGTACGAGAGCAGGAGCGGACGATAATGGGAAAGTAGGAAATAGCCATACTGTCATAGTCATCCTGATCATTATCATACTGAACATGGGGTACTCCTGACGTCACATCTGATACAGAGCGGTGCAGCCTACCACCGGCCCGTACCTGCGGGGTCGACGCAGGCTCTGAGGGTGCAAGCCCAGGCCCCTCCCAAGCAGGAACACTGGTTACAACCGTCTGTCTTCCTCTCACCGTCCAGACAAACACCGGGATTTACTGTGAAAGGTATCAGCAAATGTAGGTTAAATGTATATGGGTTAAAACCAACAAACCGCTCTATCTTACGTGAAGTGCAAAGCTGGTGTGTAAGCAATTTCTTATATTTGCACTAGACTAAAAGACTAAACAAGGTGCACTAGACGACCAGTGAAGGTCTTGACTGGCATAAGTTCTATGTTGCTGTGCGTACCAATCTCACCACGTCGGCGCCCCCCCCCCCCCCCTCCATACGGCGTCAGTCCGTTGCACGGCTTCAGTAAGCTTAATGGACAGCGTTACATTCATTAGTGCGCCAGAATGGGAGCGGACGGCCGTATCAAAGTCATTGCGTTATAATACAAGATCCTTAAAACTACCTGGCACAGCATCAGAAGCTCCAAACTTCAACAGCAAGCTCAGGTTCACTTCAGTCAGAACAGGGCCAGACTAAGCGTGGCTCAGTTTCAGGCCCTAACACCAGATGTACGCACCTCGCCTTGTTGAAGCGGTTTGACACACCACTACAGCCAGAGCCAACACGATGAGCACACGAGCCCCCATACTGGGTCCGGTCGACGTAGCACTGACACGTTCCGACCGAGCTGGACGACGTACTGGCCCGATCTGGCAGCTCGAAAGGTCACCAGTGGTCAGTGGACGTGCACACGGCGGGCCGCCGTCCGTCAGCCCGAGGTCACGGTGCTGTCCTGGCCGGCCGGTGTCCGTCACAGCGGCCGGTGCCAGCAACTCACTGTCAGACAGTGGGCCCCGCCACCCCGGCCGGCCGTGTCGCGTCACCCGGCGGTGAAAGCTCGCGTGACGGTCCGACACCGGCACCTATGCGCGCCAAGCGGGTCATGGCATCCCGGGTGACCAGATGGACAGGAGTCCACGGGTGGCGTCTGGTGACCGATTGTACATGAGTCGCGTTAGTTACGAGATGGCGGAAACCCTGTATGAGCTCCTGTCATCATCGTCTTTCCCTCCGCGGCTCTCATCATCTCCCCTCTCTCTACAACTTTCATCATCTTCCTCGCTCCGTACGGCGACGGTTTTCAGCATACAATTTGTTGTCCAGCAGTTCAGTACACTAGATCTGGCACCGTATAGGCTCTTTATGCCGCCAGCAGTTGGGTGGAGCGAGGAGCTCAGCCCTCTGCGTAAATCTTCGTAAACATTCCATAATCAGATGTGCTGTAATGGCGTTTTCCCCGCCTAGAGCGTTGGGCTTCAAACACGGGATCACTTATGTCCGGAGTGTGTTATGAATCAGTAAACGCAGCCACTTGTCTTATTAGCTGTGAAATATTGTGTTAACCTTTAGAGTTACCCGATCTTCTTCAGCTAAGTTACTGACACAGTCAATCGGTTGAGATCTAATTTGCAGGCATAAAACATTGCAGCGATTGTTTTGTGAGCAATAAATACATCATACATTAACAAAAGACTGCGTCACTGTTGTGTGATTGAACAGTCTGTTTGCACAATGGCGTGTCTGGACATTTACAGTGATCACATTTCATTATCGCATGGCCTTCAACATCCGAATAATAGGTCTTTCCCTGAAGCCGCCCGGACAGCGCTGGGCTTGGCCTGTGACCGTGACCGCTCCCCGTCATAGTGGCGACGCCCCAACCAGCGTCTGGCTGAGGACGGGTACGCTGGCAGGAGCTTCAGTAGTCTTTACCCGCCTGGTCTTGGGGGAGGAGAGGGGAGAGGTGTGTTCGATCCATCCATCCGCTACTGACGCGCCGCGGCCAGTGAGATGGAGCGACACGGAGTGAGCTGTGTGGTCAGAAAACAGCTCGCTCACCGCTGAAGGACAGACAACGCTCGCGGGAGGCGTGCCGCCATGTGAGGTGCTGTGGCGTGACTGGGTTTGCTTGTAGAAATATCGCACGGAACGCTCGTGCTATTTCATGGATGTGGTCCGTTATGTATTTTTGATCGCATGCTTACACCATGACGAGCTGCATGAGTCGGACGCAATCTTCGTCATTATATGATAGAGAAAAACTTTATTTCCGGTTGAGGCTTTAGCATTAACACATACGCTACACATGCTCCAGGTTAGCTCGCAGCAGCCTACATGTTACTTGGCAGCAGTGCCGAAAGTAGTTAATTACGTTGACAACTATTGATTTAAGCCACTTTTTAAACTGCCTTTTTACGCTATTCGTGCCACCTTTTCCCTTGGTTCCTAGGCAACAACGTACGTAACTCGTAGGCTGTTTTTACCCTTATAGTTTTTCTGTCAGTAAAAATTGCATGATATTTGTTTTATGTCCTTGCAAAAGATTTTTACGGCTCATTCCGCTATATACTGTGTTCGCGTGCTTTACCTCCATCCTTCCTTTTTGTCTTATCTGAGTTGTTTGTCTCTGACCCTATTGTGCTTCCCTCGCTGCTCGCCACCCTGTGCTTATGTGCACTTCCGCCGTCACTTGCTCTCTCTTCAGGTCTTCTAACGTCTGTAGTTTCCGACCTTTGCCTATATGTAATCTGCTGCTCCTGTTCTCTGTCCTCCTTTCATGTCTCGCTCTTGATTACACCTCTCGACATCTTTCCTCCGTTGTTCTCAGCTCCCGCCCACCTCAATTCTGCCACCCTCAGCTCCTGCACTCTTCCCTTCGCCGTTGTCACTCCCGGCCTCTTCCCTCCCGCCGTCTTCAGCCCCCCCCCGCCCGTCTTCTCCCAGCCGTCTGCCCCGGAGGTGGCGCGGCATAGGTCTGGGATAGCCTGCCGCTCAGTCGACGCCGGAGACTGGAGCGTGACGGTGGCGCCCCCCGCCGCTCTCGAGGGTCAGCTCTGCCGCCGCCTGCTCCAGGCCTCGGCCGGTCACGTGCTCCAGGCCACGGCAGGTCATCTGCCTGCAGCGATATAGGAGTGCCCGGCCTCTCGAGGAGCGGCCTATTTTGGAGTGCGATCTAAACGGCCGTCAATAGCAGAGTTTTCGTGCGAGGCCGTGGTGTTGGATGCGGACCGAAACAAGCTGTGAGCCAAGCACCTTCGGACCACTCAAGCGTTGAGCCGGCAGTGCAGTGTTTACGCAGCCTTGCTCTTCGTTTTGGTGGCATATATTCGGGCCGGAACACATGTCCGAGCGACAAGAACACTTGATGACCTTCGCAGGTCTGTGATCGACGCGACAGACTGGACTAAGCAGCTGCGGCCGTCGACATGGCGACGGCACGATGGCTAACGCTGGCCCTGGTTGTGACGTGTTTGAATTGTCCTGACCTGACCCAGGCAGGCCGGAGGAGGAAATGTCGGGTGTTTCCCGATACAAGCCCGCGACCGGTGGTGATTACAGGCAAGATGTTGGCCTTCTACCCCATCCATGTGCCGGGAGTTCGCTTCCCGGTCAAACGTCTGGGCCTGGTGGAGGTCAAACGGGTCATCTCAGGTCAGGTCAGCCGACCCCAGCTTGTGGTGGAAGGGTTCTATCAGATCGGTGTATGCAACTCGCGGCTGAGACTGCGGGAAACACGAATTTTCTTCCTGAAGTCGCCTGATATCCGACCCCTTTCATTGAGGGAGTCAGCCGAGAACATCACGCACAACACGGACTTTCAGCTGATATCCACCGCACGCTGGACGCCCCGGAACGTCAGAATAGCTCGCAAATATACAGGTCAGTCCAAGGATCGGTACATAACGTGGCTGGGAACTTCACCGCCATTGTCTTTTATACCATACGCCACATATTCGTACATAGGCAGATTGTTTGTCTCTCACGCTCTCCTGGCCAAAACCCATCGCAGCTTTTATTCAAATGTGATTTGAGCGTATCAATCAATTCCCACATTATACACGAGATCTCAAATGGGCAGACGATTAGAACAGAGCCAGGCCGGCCTAAGAACATCCACCATCGTGATGACACTGGAGTGTAAAATCCATTAGAGCTCATGGTGTTGTGACCGAGGCGGCCCGGCGGGCGGTGACGCTGTGTCACCATTTATAGTTATTTCTTTCGCAAATATAGATAATAATGTTTCTGCGTTGAACCTTGTTCTGCGATACCTCTGTCTGTTTAGGAACAGTTTGAGTAACACCAAAGACAACTTCATTGGAATTCGTGGCAACTATTTTGCGGAACGTACCGGCAAGACTATGCTAATGCTAATCCGCGACCAGGCTGACCTTTTTCATAATACGTTCTCATAGGAAGGAGGGGGGGGGGGGGGGATCGATCCCCAACTTCAGCATAGGGCCTAGCTGGACAAGAATAGCGTATTGGTCTTAACGAGGCCTCGCGACTGACAATAGGTCTCTTGCCGTTAGGTCAATTATTGATCCCAATAGTGACACGAAACCTAAAAGGCAGGCACATTTCTTTGTCCAAATACCTGAGATGGATGCCCCAGAGCATATCAAAAATTTTGGCGCGATCACACGACATGCTGGGTGCGCATTTACAGAAAAGCTTAGGAACTGGGGCCACATTGACCTTTCTATCAGAGCGGGGGTTCAAAATATATGGTGGCTCACGAAATGAGCTAATCGCGATTTCGATATGAGCTGTTAACGTCAGGAGTGTTCATGTTTTCGGTGTTGTGGCGGAGGACGCTAACCTATGGTGCTGGTACAGCTTCGGCCGGGCTCACACCTGTTCACAAGGCGCCGGTGTTGTGGTGTGGTGTCCACAAGGCGCCGGTGACACCTGTTTGTTTGCCTCAACAATTTAACCCATGTATGACCAAATCCCTTCGGGGAAATACAACTGGTGATTTATGAAAGCATCGATTTTCGTTGTTATACGAAAATAACCACCCTTCAAGATGTTAGGAAGAAAAGGATTTGCAAAGACAGTAAGCAGTCATTTGCACATGGTCAGTATGAAAGACGTTTCAATGCAGCAACCATGGTCATCAACGTCGTCGGCACTGATATCACGACTTCAATGCTCGCACGAGCCGTCACAAGTCGAACCGTCTCCTTGCGCTGTACCGTCGGTGTCTTCCGATGGCGGGAAAAGAAACTGACTTCGCGCCATGCCATCCGTGGCTTATTTGAGCATGATTTACTGTGCACTGCGGCACAGTTTGGACACGCGGCGCCGACAGGGGGAGACTCTACATCAGAGACGTTCGTTGTTATTGTTACAATCAGCTGATGTCCTGCATTCTGCTCCCGATCTGCAGTCGGGGACAAACGCCTGTCAGTCGAGCCGGCTAGCTCCATTTGTCCGTTCCGCGCCGTTTTTCAGGCATGGTGAAAAAGTGGCAGGCCGTGTTTCCACAGGTAATTACAGACGTGCCAGCTTTGACCTGTTGATGCTGGCGAAAAACCAAAGACTTAGTCCGCTTCAAGCCAAACGGCTTCATCCCCTGAAAATGCATGCTACTCGTTAAATACACAATATGGACTTAAACAATAGCACATGCAAAACGAAACAGGTTTTATACGCCAGAGGTATATTTAAGAGTGATGGGGTAGCAGCTGAACCTCCCCCGTCCCAAATTTTGACGTGCGTGGATACGAATAACTGATGCATGCGTAATTATATGTTCATTGGATTAATACATTGGTTGACATGCATGTGACAAATGTTAGCAATTACAAATTTGAGGCACCCATGCAGAGATAGACAAATAAAACGCCATGCGATGTTGTTTTACCCTTGCACGATATAGCTCGCCTGTGACGCTCTAAGATGCGATTTTAAGCTTGAGGTTTTAGTTTTGCCCCCTTCACATTGCGAAATCCAACGCTTACCCCT